AGGTAGGCAGTGTGGGAGTATCACCTTCTTCAGTTCTTTTCCTGGCATTAAAACTTTCCTCTGCCCTTTGCTGAAAGAAGGGAAAGGTTATTTATCAGTGCAGCAGAAATAACTGAGACCAGGGGATGTAGCAGTTCCATTCTGGCTCACCAGTTAGTGTGTAACACAATGGGTTACACACAAGAAAGAGAACTCTGGAGTTCACAACAGTCATCAAATAAAGGCAACACTTCTCCTCAACCCACTGAAAACAGAGCTAGGAGAATCCCAAACCTGAGGGGAAAAACAGATTTTGGTCTTTGTGCAAAGGCTAACAACAGGCTATCTGTATAAAGCCTCTAGCCCAGGGGTCCTCAAACTTTTGAAACAGGGGCCCAGTTCACTGTCCCTCAGACCGCTGGAGGGCCGGACTGCGAGCCCCGGGCGAGTCAGCTGCTAAGCAGGACAGGCAGCAGCGGCAAAAACACCCAGGGGGGCCAGATAAATGTCCTCGGCGGGCCGCATGTGGCCCACAGGACGTAGTTTGAGGACACCTGCCTAGCCTACTACAAAATTAGGCAGAATTCAGAAAACATGTGAAACCCTCACCTTATGCCAAGATAATCGTAGTTTCCGCAGGTTTGGGGAAGCTTTAGGAAATGACCTGATATGAACTTAACTATACCAAGCCTGTTAAATTTTACTAAAGCAGTTCCCTTGAACACACACACACACACAGAGACACTCACAGAGACCCAAAGAAAATGCAACTGGAAGAACTGAAGATCAGAAGTGCTACATCCCAAAGAAAGATTCAGAGACTGGAACTCTGTTATGGGCAGAACAGAGAAGGTTCACTCTGTCCTTGGTCTGTGAGCTCCCAAGAACCTTTCTTATTAAATTCTTACCACATTAACAGAAAGGTCTTGGGAGTCCAAGATCCATAGGTACAGAGAAGGGGCCACTCTGTACAACAAAAGAAGTCACCATGTGGTGATTTTACCTTCAGTTGGTCTTGACTTGGAATATCCATACTGTGATCCTGTGCGAGAGCGAGAGTCTGAGCAGCATCTGGATAGCAAGTAAAACAAAAGGAAAACCTTCCCTGGTAATAACCATTCTTTCCACACAAAAAGGACCTCAAAACAATCCTAGAGCCAGGTTTGGTTCCTAGAGATGGACTTCTCCTTGTCAGCTGGATAAGGCTCTCATTTACAAGAAGGGAAAAATCAAAACTAACAAAAATGACAAAGACCAAAAGAGGCCATATTAAAAATACAATACCAGGCTCGGCACCTATATATAGCCCAACAGCTAGGGCACCAATCATATACACAGGAGCTAGTGGGTTCGAATCCAGTCCAGGCCTGCCAAACAACGACAACTACAACCAAAAAATAGCCGGGCGTTGTAGTAGGCATCTGTAATCCCAGCTACTTGGGAGGCTGAGGCAAAAGAATCGCTTAAGCCTAAGAGTTGGAGGTTGCTATGAGCTGTGATGTCATGGCACTATACCCAGGGCAACATAGAGAGACTCTGTCTCAAAAAAAAAACAACAACTATATATCTACATAGATATATAGAAATGTATATAAATAAAATGCCAAATATAATCTAAGGAAAAGCGAAAAAAAGTGACTAAAAATGCTCCTCAAGCAAGCTTTCAAAATTTTATAAGAAAAGAGGTTCCAAGCAGGAAATAGAGACCATTTTTGTCATCTATTCTTGTATTACCAAATTTACCTCACTTATAAACAACAAAAAGCGTTTGGCTTTTTAAATTTAGTGTTAATTTTCAGCATTCAAGTCATATAGGGTTATGAGATCTTAAAATTTGGAAATTTTCCCAAAACTTGCTTCATAAAATAGAATATAGGTTAAATGAAGACACTAAGTGTTAATATAATTTCATGGTTTAAATTCCCATCACCTGTATAAAGATTAGATGTTTTTCATCAAGTCTTTTCTTCCCAGTTACTACAAATACTATGCATTTCCTAAGAAGAAAGAGGAGGCAGATAAAGTTTTTCTCAAAGCCAATAAAAAGAAACAAAGAAAACAATAACCCAGCAGAGAAATTTTTCAAATACTGCATTAATCTAAGAAAGAAATGTACTTTAAAGACTTAGACATTTTTCAAGCAGAAGATAAATACTTGGCTATAGGAAAAGAACAAGCACAGAAAATGTAATCATCTGGGCCATTCATTGTAAGTACACATATGAGGCTATACATAACTGACATGCACCCAAATAAGTCTACAGTGGAACAAGTTCATTAACCACTATCAGGTCCAGAGACAGGACATGCGGAAACATTCTCATCTAATAAAGACTACTAGAGAAAAAGAAAAGATCCTACAGTTGGTTTGACAATTAAATTGTTTTACACAAAGCAAACATTTTCAAAATTCTAATTATAAAGAACAATTATTTCCAGAAGCATTTTATTTATATTTATTTTTTCCAGAAGCATTCTTATAGATAAATGGAGACACTGAAAAGTTTAAGAGACAGCATTTTCTGACGACAGTGGTCTTCAAAGCAAAGTTCCAAGAATAGAGCACATGCAGTAGTCCTTTAATAAAGAAATTCTAATACTAATGTCATTTATATTTCTAAAGCCTTACTATCTTACTTAGGTTAAGATAATTATGAGCAAAAATAAATCATCTGGGGAAACCATAATGTAAAAAAAATTTTTTTTAACAATAGAAAGTTTGTCCTATTTCATTTTATCACTATACATGGGAAAATTTGGAGAAATGATTTCAGGGGTCCTCAAACTTTTTAAACAGGGGCCCAGTTCACTGTCCCTCAGACCGTTGGAGGGCCAGACTGCGGGCCCCAGTATGAGTCGGCTGCTGAGCAGGACAGGCAGCGGCGGCAAAAATCCCCGGCAGGCCAGATAATTGTCCTAGGCCGGCTGCATGTGGTCCATGGGCCATAGTTTGAGGATGCCTGATTTAGAAGAACCATCTTTACTTTAAATAATAGCATTCTCTTCAACCACCAAAATAGAAGGTTTAATCCACTTGCAAAGGTGCAAAATAGACTATACAAAAAGCACTTTTCTCATATGTCCTTTCAAATAAAACACATGCAACCCAGTTTATGAAAATCAGCAGATGACCAACCACAAGCACCAATGCAAATACAAGTCAAGAGTAGATAATCAGGATTACTTGGGAGCAAGCAAGTTCTTGGTTTTGATCATTAAACAATAGCTAAATAAAATGTTATCATTTGAGAATCTAGGTAAAGAATATATGGGAACTCTATATAATACTTTTTTAACTTTGTGAAGTCTAAATTTCTTTAATGAAAAAAATTAAATAAAAACATTTTAAATATTTAGTGTTCAGAGGAAAAGAATTTGTCAAAAAAATTATGGGAAGCAAATTCTGTTACAAATAAGGGTTAAGGCTCGGTGCCTATAGCTCAACGGGCTAGGGCGCCAGCCTCGTACACCTAAGGTGGCGGGTTCGAATCCCCAGCCCGGACCCGCCAAACAACAATGACGGCTACAACCAAAAAATAGCCGGGCGTTGTGGCGGGCGCCTGTGGTCCCAGCTACTTGGGAGACGGAGGCAGGAGACTCGCTTGAGCCCAGGAGTTGGAGGTTGCTGTGAGCTGTAATGCCATGGCACTCTGCCCAGGGGGACAGCTTGAGGCTCTGTCTCAAAAAAAAACAAAAAAACAAACAAACAAAAAAAAAAACAAATAAGGGTTAAGACACCATTATATGGCACAAAGGAAGAAATCTCTCCTGTACCCACATATCAGTGGTGTGTGATCTTGAAAAAATCACTCATTCTATTAAAAAAAAAAAACTTGAATTCATATATTAACTCTCCTCACAGGACTGTCATAAGGATCAACCGAAATGTTTGCTTATACAGATGTTCTTTATAGTAGTATATGTCATGTTAAATTTTGTAGAAAGTACAAGAAAGAATGACAGGGAAAAAAGTGAGAATTATACCCACTCTAGATATTCAGAGACTAGATCAATCAGTAAACAAATTTTGGAGTGGACAAAGGCAGGAAAAAAGAAAACAAATTTTACTGCGAGAATAAATCAGCTATTATAAATCCTCCATGTATTTCAAGCTATCAGTGACTATTCCAGGGAAGCTATACTATTTCACAAGTGATTGAATTCTAATAAAGCTGCCATATAATTTGTCCAAGGCCTTCCCGCTCAGTTATATGCAGTTATACGAAGTGTGTCCAGTGAGCAAATGGCTCAATGAAACCAACAGGCGTCAAGATTCAATGTAAGTTCAAAATCATGTTTCCATATGAGAGCAAAGTCTTTTTTCCCCAAATTTTAACAACTAAACCTTTTCCTTTTTTTGCAGTTTTGGCCGGGGCTGGGTTAGAACCTACCACCTCCAAGCATATGGGGCCAGGGTCCTACTCCTTTGAGCCACAGGCACTGCCCAACAACTAAACCTTTTACAGACTGAATTCAGACTGGTGCAAAGGCTCATACCTGTAATCCTAGCACTTTGGGAGGCTAAAGCAGGAGGATCATTTGAGCTCAGGAGTTTAAGATTAAGCAAGAGTGAGACCCCAATTCTACTAAAAAAAAAAAACTAGCCAGGCATTGTGGCAGGCGCCAGTAGTCCCAGCTACTCAGGAAGCTGGGGGAAGATGAGTTTGAGGTTACTATGAGCAAAACTAAACTGATGCCATGGCACTCTTTCTCTCAAAAAAAAATTCTTTTCAGCTTATTTATTTCAATAACCTATCAAAAGATAGCCAATTTAAAGAGATTACAAACGAGCTTTCTTCAAAGAACAAAGTTATCTTGCTCACAAAAGCGATTCATATGTAGGAGTTGGGAGGGGGGAGATAATTTGGAAATCAAGAGAGATATACAATTACATTTCAGATGTATGCAGTTTATTCATCTACTCTAACACACCACCATTTTGGAGACCTCAGACCCCAAAGCAGCCAGTTTTCTGCACATACCTAATAGATTAAACGCAAAGACCTTAGTACTTAAAAGGTCTGGAATCAAGCAAAAGATAAGACAAATTTCCATTCAGGTTACAGAGAGCTAAAACAATTAAGTGAAAGGTTCTAAGAGGAACAAGTCTTCAGACTGCTATCACCTGAGCCCACAGAATCTTAACATGACTAAGAGGGACAGGCAGACCCTGTATGAGTGATAAGGCAGAAGTACAAAGCACCTCCTTTACAATAGTATATGGCAAATATACTATTATATAGTATACAAAGCTTTCTTGGCAAAAAATTTATACTTGAATCTACTCAAGCACTACTATTTACTGAAAATGGGCACATAAAGAAACATGTTAAACAAAATTACAAGGACACAATCTTCAACTCCAGAATGTGGAAAATTCTACAGAAAAATGACCCATTTCTTCAACAAATAAGTGACATGAAAAAAAGAGGGTTAAGTTTTATAAATTAAAGGCACTTATGAAACATAACCAAATGCAACGTGTGGACTTTAGATTCTGATTTGAGCAGGTCAAATATAAAATATTTTTGAGATAACTGGGGGAAACAACACATATACTGGCTATTAGAATTATGATATTAATTTTGTTGTGTACTAATGGTATTGTATGTTTGAAGGAACAAAGACCTTATCTATGAGAGATAGATTTAAAAGTAGTCTAGATGAAGCAAATGTGACAAAATGTTAACAGTACATCTAGGAAGTGGACATCTCTCTTTTTTCAATATGTTTGAGATGTTTCACAATGAAAAATAGCACAGAACTAACATTCAGTGTGGCATGTAATATATATTCCTCCCAGTCATGCCAAAGACAGCATTCCATTTCCACCTCCATCCACCTTGCTTTCCCACCATTTACCCCAATGAACTCAAAGCTGTTATATACACTGAAGAAATATGATGTGACATACCTGTAGTAGGAGTGGCTAAAGTGACAAGATTCTTTCTTAGCATATCATAGAGTGGGCTGTTAAAGAGATAAAACAAAAAATCAACAACCCCAAACATTACTCTAAAAGTTATGAGTGATTCTTCCATTAAATATTACATTTCTGATACGTTATCTCTCAACTTTCTCTAAAGCATAGAGAGACAGAATCTTTTTCCCAGAATAGATAAGAATTACTTAAATACTAAGATGTTAATGCCCAGGCCTTTGTGTTACTTTGCCCATTAAAACACTGATTTACATTTTATTTCATTAGCTAACAGTAACCCAAATGGGAAGATTTTCTTTGGAAACTATTCCTTCCTTCTAGGAGTTAGTTTTAGATTTTTTTTTTTTTTTTTTTGAAACAGAATCTTAGTTCACTGCCCTCGGTAGAGTGCCAGGTTGTCATATCTCACAGCAACCTCAAACTCTTGGGCTTAAGTGAGCTTCTTGCCTCAGTTTTTCATTTTTAGTAGAGACAGGTCTGACTCTTGCTCAGGCTGGTCTCCAACTCATGAGCTCAAGCGATCCACCCACCTTGGCCTTCCAAAGTGCTAGGATTATATAGGCATGAGCCACTGCCCCTGGCCTCTACTATGATTATTATACTCATCATCAATCTCAAACTGCTCAGTAATTCCACATTGCTTTCATTTGCTCACTATTCCTCTCCAACAATTATTTTACAAAATTCTAACCTGGTCATATCAAGCTTCCTTCTACCAGGCCTATAAATGTAATGTGCAATCTGCCTAAAGTTCTCCTTTAACCCCCTTTAATCAATTCTTTAATATTCCTTCAGCTTTCAGCCCAAATTTTGCTGAAGGAATCTTTCCTTGACACCCAATACCTAACACCCATCCATTCCCTACTTCATGTGCCTCTTTACTGTAGTACTTACATGGTGTAATTTTACCACATACTGGTGTGAGAATTTAATTAAGATGGGTAAGAACATCCACTGTCTCATTCCTCTGAAAACGTTACAAAATCAGACACCATCTGTGTTGCTCACTATTGTATTCTCAGTGCCTCAGAGGTTACCTAACATATGTAGGCCCTTAAGTATTTGTGGACTAAAGTAATAAATAACCATTAATAACCTATGGAGATGAAGTAGTTAGATGTAAACACCCAAAAAGATATGCAAACCTTCACTCTTTTTACCTTGGATCTTTCACGGAGAAGCTCTGACATCCTAGTAGCTCTCCCAAAAGATCTCCACCACAATATACCATATGCTGCTCCTGTTGATCATAAAGCTGCTTCACCATTATATACTGGCCTAGGTAATGCATGACCTGTGTGGGAATAAAATGCCATGAAATGATTTGTCCACTGCCAAAAACACAAGTAAATTAAAAGGAGGTAAAAATAGTTTTTTTGGTTTGGTGGGGTTTTTTTTTTTTTTTTTTTGGAGACAGGATCTCATTCTGTTACCCTGGTTAGAGCTAGACAGCAGTGCCATCATCGCAGCTCACAGCAACCTCAAACTTCTGCACTCAATTTTCCTGCCCTACTCTCCAAGTAGCTAGGACTACAGGCCCACACCACCATGCCTGGCCCGTTTTTTTTCTATTTTTGGTAGAGAAAGGCTCTCACTGTTGTTTGGGTCAGTCTCAAAATCCTGAGCTCAAGCAATCCTCCTGCCTCAGCTTTCCAAAGCACTATGATTACAGGCATGAGCCATGCTGCCCGGCAGTAAGTTATCTTATAAATATGTTATCTCTTTCTCTGGAAAACTATCAGTGCTTGTGAAAAGGGTCCTACAACAGAAGAGTTGCTCCCAACTACTAGGTCCATCTATCGATTATTTCCGTGGCAGCTACAAGACCCAGACCTTTTAGCAGAGAAATGTACTAATCTGAAAACGAGAAAAAGTGGTGAATTCAGCTTGTATCCTCTTATAATCTTTCTCACCAGTTCACATACATGGGCCTGCTCTGTAACTAGAAGTAACAAGCTTTAAATTTGCCTAAGTCATAAAATAGTTTCCAAGTGCGGAAGCACATAAACAACCATTCTAGGCTTTTGATGTATGTTCACTTAATTCTTTTTGGCAAATGAAGCACAATGTTTAATAAGTCACTATAAATGCACAAACATAGAACCCAAGTTTTTAATCAAATAAAAATTTACTCTATCTGTCTTTTGTTCAAAGTTCATAAAACAGAAGGAAAGACAGGCAAGTTCATGATTCAAAATTTAAAAATTATCTAAAATGGGCCAGGGGCGATGGATCACACCTATAATCCTAGCACTCTGGGATGCCAAGGTAGGTAGAATGTCAGTCTCAGGAGGCTGAGGCAAGAGGATTGCTTGAGCCCAAGAGTTTGAAGTTGCTGTGAACTATCACACCACAACACTCTACCCGGGGTGAGACAGTGACACTCTGTATCCAAAAAAAAAAGGATTCTCATGTTTGGATGCCAATAACAAGAACTATAACAGACAGCAAAAACCACACCCTTGCACAAAGGCCATTACAACCTTTTTTTGAGACAGAGCCTCAAGCTGTCCCCCTGGCTACGGTTCAGTGCCTGTGGCTCAAGTGGCTAAGGTGCCAGCTACATACAACTGAGCTGGCAGGTTTGAATCCAGCACAGGCCCGCCAAATAACAATGATGGCTACAACCAAAAAATAGTTAGGCATTGCGGCAGGTGCCTGTAGTCCCAGCTACTTAGGAGGCAGAGGCAGGCAGGAGAATTGCTTGAGCCCAGGAGTTGGAGGTTGCTGTGAGCTGTGATACCACAGCACCCTACCCAGGGTGATAGCTTGAGGCTCTGTCTCAAAAAAAAAAAATTTTCTATAACAACATCTGCACAGCAACTGCCTCTCCAACCTCTGACTACCACCATCCTTGTAACTGATCTTTGTAGCCAAGGATGATGATTTCAAAACAATATGTAATCTCACTTTTCCCTTTGAAAACTTTTGTAGACCTGGTGCAATGGCTCATGCATGTAATCCCAGAGCTTTAGGAAGCCAAGACAGGAAGCTCACTTGAGGCCATGAGGGCAACATAGCAAGAACTTATCTCTTGCAAAAAAAAAAGCCAGCATGGTGGTGGCACCTGTTCTCAGCTACTCAGGAAGCTGTAGTGAGAGAATCATTTGAGCCTAGGAGTTCAAGGCTACAATAAGCTAAGATCACTCCACTGAGCTTGGCACCTGTAGCTCAGTGGCTAGGGCACCAGCCATGTACACTAGAGCTGGCGGGTTCAAATCCAGCCTGCGCCTGCCACACAAGAATGACAACTACAACCAAAAAAAGCCAGGAGTGGCTCAGCACCCATATAGCACAGTAGTTATGACGCCAGCCACATACACCAAGGCTGGAGGGTTCGAACCCAGCCCAGGGCCAGCTAAACAATGACAACTGCAACAAAAAATAGCCATTGTGGCAGGTGCCTGTATTCCCAGCTACTTGGGAGGCTGAGGCAAGAGAATCGCTTAAGCTCAAGAGTTTGAAGTTGCTGTGAACTGTGATGCCACAGTACTCTACCAAGGCCGACAGCTTGAAACTGTCTCAAAAAAAAAAAAAATAACCCCACTCCACTTAAGCCTGAGCAACAGAGCAGTACATTGGCCAGGTGTAGTGGCTCATGCCTGTAATTCGAGCACTCTGGGAGGCCAAGGTGGTGCCCAGTAGTTTCCATTTATAATGAAAACTACTGCATTCATTTATTCATTCATTTTTGAGGCAGAGTCTCACACTTTATTGCTCAGGCTACAGTGTTACGGCATCAGGCTAGCTCACAACAACTGCAAACTCCTGGATTTAAAGGATCATCCTGCTTCAGTCTCCTGAGCATCTGGGACTATAGGTACATGCCATGACACCCAGCTAATTTTTCTACTTTTAGTAGAGACAGGGTCTCTATCTTGCTCAGGCTGATCTGGAACACCTAAGCTCAACAGAGTCTCCTGCCTCGGCTTCCCAGAGTGCTAGGATTACAAGCATGACCCACTGCACTTGGCCCAAACTACTGCACTTGATTCCTATCTCATAAGGGATCCTGTAAATGAGTGTACATATTTTGCATTTTAACTCATAGGTGAATGAATTCAGGGTTAACCTTATGTTTAGCTTATAACATTTCAAAAGGAAATAAAAAATTTAACTTTATAGTCAAATGCAGCAAAAGGTGTCTCTCTACTTCAGGAGTAGAACTTCCTTCCTTAGGCCTAATTTTTCAGAACTACATATTCACTAACATCTACTTCCCAACTGTTCTTAAAACTGAGAATTTTCATTGATGGCTTACCTCTTTAACAGTGAACATTTCACCTTGTGCACCGGCTGCCTGCAAAATCTTCAAAAGTGGCAGTTTTGGTCGTACCTGATGGAAACATAAAATAAAGCTGCTAATTTACATTTCAATCAGGTTTCTGAAATCCCTGGAACAAACAAAAACTTCCATAAACTTTTTTCTTTCTTTTCTGTCTCACTTTATTGCCCTCGGTAGAGGGCCGTAGTGTCACAGCTCACAGCAACCTCCAGCTCTTGGGCTGAGGTGATTCTCTCACCCCAGCCTCCTGAGTAGCTGGGACTACAAGTACCCACCACAATGCCCAGCTACATTTTTGTTGTTATTGTTGCAGTCTGGCCGGGTCACGGTTTGAACCCACCACTCTCAGTATATGGGGCAGGTGCCCTACTCACTGAGCCACAAGCGCCACCCCATAAACATGTTTTTTAAAACAAGCCCTGGTAGAAACTTACCACCTAATATCGTATAACCTGGCTTGGCACTCATAGCTCAGTGGTTAGGGAGTCAGCCATATACACCAAAAGGCTGGCAGGTTCAAACCCAGCCCAAGCCTGCTAAACAACAACAACTGCAACAAAAAAAATAGCCTCAGCTTCCTACTAAATAGGAAGCTGAGGCAAGAGAATCGCCTAAGCCCAAGAGCTGGAGGTTGCTGTGAGCTGTGATGCCATAGC